GGCCAGTCACAGGCTGGGCTGGAACTACTGACCCACACCTCCCAAGCCGGCCAGTCACAGGCTGGGCTGGAACTACTGACCCATACCTCCCAAGCCGGCCAGGCACAGGCTGGGCTGGAACTACGGACCCACACCTCCCAAGCCGGCCAGTCGTTGGGTCTTGCCTGTCACCCACAGGTAACCAACAGTAGTTCACAGCTGTCCTAACTCACCTACAGTGTCCACTCCTATAATATTTATAAGGCATTGGATTTTCCAAATTCAGAGACCCACATGTAAATATGAATTTTATAAAGCTTATTTTTAAATAAAGAAATGACCATGATATGCTTCCGATGGTTTCTTGATGAGTCGAGCCTTGGAAAACAGCCCTGTGGTGGTTCACAAGTCAGTTTCACAAGGGAACGCTCCTCAATGCTGGATCGCTGCCCCAAGGTGAGCCTTGCTCTGGTGGTTCCAACACGTGGAAGTGGTTCTCACCAGGTGCTTGAAGCCGCTTTGCACAGCTTTCCTAAGTGCTGTTCCGGCCTCACTCGGCCACGGGCTCCTCCCACAGATTCCAGGCCCTATGTGTGCAGCTTTCAGGGTGTGACCCCTAGTGCTGCAAGCTGCAGAATGACTTCCAAACTGACCTTCCGAGCCCTTTGAATCAAGCCAGAGGTTTTTGCTGATATATCAGTGGCCAAGTCTTTCCAAAAACAGTAATTCTCTGCACTCTGAAGCCAGATGCTGGGAGACCACCATGCAGACCCACCCTGTGAGGACATTTCTTAATCAAAATGCAAAAAGTATTGTAGATAATAGTGACCCAAATGACCAGGTTTACCTCTGTAAGGTCTGTTGAAATTTCAAATAGAAATCTCCAGATTCTTTTAGAAAGATGTAATTAAATATGGACCATTAAATATTTGGGTTGCAAAGACTTAAAAACAACAGTACTTTTTAAAAAAGTTTAGTTGTAGATGTAGACGATATCTCTATTTTACTTATTTTTATATGATGCTAAGGATCAGACCCACTTGCCAGGCAAGCTCTAGAGCTGCCTTTTCTTAAGTTACTTTTTTGCAGTGTGGGGTTGTGCTGTATCAAAAATACTTTTATCCTGTTTTTTTAGGCTGCTCCAAATCATACATGTCCTCAATAACGTAGAAGAGCCGAGAGGTGTTTGGGAAATCCTCACACTTTCCCAAATGCTGTGAAAGGCGTGGGCATTTGGAGCACACTGCATTCCAGCCATCGACATGTTTCCTCCTGTAATAAAGGGGGGAGCTCATTGAGTCATTTGTGTTCCTTTCCTCTCTCTCGTCAGTCCCACCATTCTATTTCCAACATCTGGACCACCTTGGGAGAAGACTGGACCACTATGAGAAGCCCGAGCTGTCGCTGGGGTCTTACGAGTACGTCGCCACGTTGGATTACTGCAGGGTGAGTGTGCCCGGGGCTGGAGGGGCTGTGCGTCGAGGTCACCTTCAGGTGAACAACCTTGCCATGTGCAGACCGATGCCTAGCTCAGCCGGGGCGAGGCAGGAGTCAGCCCGATCCAGTGGCCAGACCATGGCTGAAGTGAGAAAGAGGGAGCAATGATTTTTGTCTTCTCCAGTCAGAATCTGCTGACTTCCTGGTGCCGCATGTCCACCAGGGCCCCCCAGGGCCTCTCCCCGGGAATCCCAAGGCCAGAGTGCAGCCATGTACTCGAGGACCGTGGCTGGCCCTGGGTCTCCTTTCTTCTCTCCAGCTGTGGCCTCAGGGACCTGGGGCCGTGGCCTCCGCTGTCCTTGCTCCAAAATAGACCCATAAGCCTCCCTTCCCAGTGGCCTCTCATGAACCAATTTTAGTTGTTGTTTTTTCCTAAAAATGTAAGTTAAAGATATTTTGCCTCCTGTTAAAGCCCTTGACTACGGGCCCCACACTGCCCTCAGCTCTCTCTTCCATTGAACAACCTCACCACGTGTGCTGAACTCACTGCCCTTTGGTGGCTCACATTCACACAGGCGTTTTTAGGCAGGCGTGTTTTGCTCTCCTTCTCACACCTGTGTGCTCCCCCTGGGAGACTCCGGCCCAAGCTGTGCTGCCTGGCGGGACGTTCTGTCTGTGCGCACACCACTTGCTGTCCTCGTTGTGGGCAGTGTGGTCCCACATCTGTGTCCTCAGAGAGCTTGGTCTGGATTGCTGTTTCAGCGTTTCTCCCCATGGAGTTCAACTCTCCCTGCTTGCCTGCCTGCCTGGTGTATTCTAATACCCCTGGGCCCAATCCTCTTTGTGATGTTTCCCAGTGACTGGCACAGGTAGACATTTGTTGGGTACACGTGAAATGAATGAGTGAGTTTACAAATGAATGAGTGAGTGAGTGGGTGGGTGAATAGGTGAATTAATGAATAAGTTAATGAGTAAATCAATGAATGAGTAAGTCAATGAATGAGTGAATGAGAGATGAGTGCCAGTGGATGAGAATGAATGAGTGAATGAATGAATGAGTAACTGAATTGAATGAATGAGTGAATGAGTGAGTAACTGAATTGAATGAATGAGTGAATGAATGAATGAGTGAGTAACTGAATTGAATGAATGAGTGAATGAGTGAATGAGTGAGTAACTGAATTGAATGAATGAGTGAATGAGTGAATGAGTGAGTAACTGAATTGAATGAATGAATGAATGAGTGAGTAACTGAATTGAATGAGTGAATGAATGAATGAGTAACTGAATTGAATGAGTGAATGAATGAATGAGTGAGTAACTNTGAATGAGTGAATGAGTGAGTAACTGAATTGAATGAATGAATGAGTGAGTAACTGAATTGAATGAGTGAATGAATGAATGAGTAACTGAATTGAATGAGTGAATGAATGAATGAGTGAGTAACTGAATTGAATGAATGAGTGAATGAGTGAGTAACTGAATTGAATGAATGAATGAATGAGTGAGTAACTGAATTGAATGAATGAGTGAATGAATGAATGAGTGAGTAACTGAATTGAATGAATGAGTGAATTAATGCATGGATGAGTGGATGGGTGAATGGATGAGTGAGTGGTGAGTGGACTAATGAGCGGGGGAGGGAGGCAGGCAGGCTTCTATTCCAGTGCTGCAGGAGGATATCACTGGGGGCCCCTGGCAGAACTTTCCCACGGTCGGGGGATCTGAACACACCTCTGGGTCTTATGTGGATCTCAGTGTGTAGCTGAAGCAGCCCGTGTGACCTGGAGAAGCGTCCTCCTCACTCTGTTCCTCGCTCTGTGCCTACTCCCAGGAAGCAGCCTCGGGCCCACAGAATGGACCCAGAGGTGTTTTCTGGGGGGACCCGTCCACACACTGAGAATAGGTTATAGGGAATGTTTCTCAAAACTAAAATTTTTCCAGTTAATTGGCTCTTCAAATTTTTTTCAATGAACATATCTTACTCATTTATTTTAGTGTTTTATATCATCATTTTGAACTACATTACATAGATCCTAATTGCTAAAGAAAACGGTCTTGTTAGTTTAAAATGCTGTAGTGTTTGAACATATTTGGAAAAATAGAAAAACAATTTTGGTACARATGCTTTCTTTTAGGCAAGAAGCATGTCCTGAAGTACAGCCCAGTTAGATTGGGGAGTGATTTTTCTTTTTCCTTTCTGCTGTTGACTGCGGGAGAATCATTAGGCAACACATAAGCATTTGCTGTTCTAACTAAATAACAGAGTCACGCCAGCTGGTGGAGGGACAACRTGCTGTGGGTCAAGTCTGACCACGGGCCCTGCAGGCTCCACGCGATGCTTTGGTAGAACCTCAGGCAGAAGGCAGACCTGCACTGGGAAGAGCAGTCCTGGTACCTTCAAACCTGCTGCAGGGGGGTGTCTAACTGGTGGGAAACCCACTGGGAAGCAGGAGCCAAGTCCAATTTGTGCATTTTGAAGAGTTTTTATGAGCCTGCTCTTCCTTTTACTTTTCCAGGTAGAGTTCATTAAAAAATATATACATGCTGTAAAGATCTTTCAATTCAATTATTATTTAAGATGTAAATGATGTAGACCAATGAGCTCACACAGGGATTTGAATGATGGAAAGGCGCTTATCTGCTTTGTGGGTGTGTTTTTAACACAGACATTGAAAGGAGAACTATACAGTCCTTTGCCCATTCATTTCAGTTGGTCTTAATGTCCATGCAAGGTGGTGAAGTTGACATTTTGCACACGTTGTGGTGAGGGCCTAGTCCACGTGTGCCTCTGGGTGGGTCTCTCAGTGATCCCCCTGGCCACCATTGTGCGAGGAGTCCAGGGCTGAGGCCTTGAGAGCTGGCCTCAAGMTACTCAGATTTAAGTCTTATTAAGAACCTGTGCCCAACAGAACTCTTCCTGCAGGTTCTGGTGGAGGCCCACCAGGCTCTGCATGGGAGGTGTTTGAGAGGTAGCGCTGAGGTGGGCACTGTGTGTGCCGAGCAGCAAGGTGCCCAGGAAATGTGCCTGAGACAGGGCCCAGCTCTCAGCTCCCACTGGCTGAAGTCACACCTTTGGTCTCGAGCATTAGGAGGGTCTCCAATGACAGGCCACGGAGGGGCTCATAGGGCAGTGGAGGTCAGGAGGGAGCTGCTCCTTCTGGCCTGTCCACCCACACCTGTGCACCGGTGGGTGGGTGGGTGGGTGAAGGGGCCTGTGCTGCCACAGGTGTCACTCAGCTCAAGGCCGTTTCTGGCAGGTGCTGCCAAGCAGACGAAGGCCCAGGTCTTGTGCTGAGTGGAGCACCTAGCCACAGGCCAGGGCCGTGCTGCACATCCAGGTGGCGTGAGGCCGSGAGAGGCCAGACCCACAGGTTCGGAGCAGAATGGCGGCCAGCTCCTGAGGGGCTGCAGGGCCAGTTTCAGTTGTGCAAGTTGGAGGCGTCATGAGAGTGGACGTGAGGGCACTTGGCACCACTGACCTGCATGCTGAAGAAGTACTGCGTTTCCTCTACTCACTTGACTACATTAAAACCAATTTTAGAGGAAAGAAGTGAGGGCTGACTTTGGGCCTTGCAGGGTGGCGAGTGGGATGGGAGGCCCTTCCAGTTTGGGAAAGCCTGCTCTGAGAAACTTCCTTCCAGGAGGTGCCGGGTAACTGTGGCTTCTGACACCTGCAGACCTTGCCTGGGGCCGTGCGGCAGCTCACGGGAACACTGGCCTGGAGCTCAGAGGCTAGGAGAGCCCGGGAGGCAGCCCTCACAGTGGCCTAAAGGTAGACTCCAGGCGTTAAGAGGGAGGCTGTGGCAAAACACAGTGGAAAATCACTCAGGAAAAAAGGGTCCCCATGACTGAGGGACAGGAATGGCCAGACCTGCACTGTCCGCCAGCTTCTGACGTGCGTGTGGGAAGGGACCCACTGGGGAGTGTTGTGGCGCGAGAGGCTSGCACCAGGAGCGTGCCCAGAGGGAGCTGCTGGCTGAGGAGAGGGCAGCAAAGGGATGAAGTTTTCATGCTGATGCTTTTTACATCTTGTACCCTGAGACCTTCAGTGAACCACTTTCAGCCAGGTGTGGCCGGGCCTGCTGTCATCCCAGCTTCTTGGAGGCTGAGGCAGGAAGACCAAGAATCCCAGGCGTCCAGATAGAACGTTCTAGGCTGGGACCTGGAGCCCCTCTGGGTGCAGACTCAGTACTGCAGAAACACGTTAGTGAAATGGGTGCTTCCAGAAGAGCACCCATCCAGCCTGGTGGTGAGGCAGAATGAATACAGTTAAAACATGACTTTACTGTAGAGCACCCATCCAGCCTTGTGGTG